CACCGAGCTGAAACTAAGAGGCCCCCAAAACAAGGCACGCAAGCTTGGCTTCGGGGTTTTTGGATTTATGGGGTTTACCCCAGGATACCCAGTAACCTAAGAATAAAAAGGCCTCTCTTTTTGGTATTGGGTAACTTTATAAGGAACCTAGGACTACAAAAAGGGAATAAGGGTACTACTGGGCATCCTAGTACCTTGAACTCCGCACATGCCGCTCTTCTACTCGCAACAAACAAAGTCTCACACCACAGGAGTCGCTTTCCAAGGAGTCTTGTGAAGCCAGTCCCGGCACGACCCTCATCGCGCCGAGGACTCCGACGCCCCATGACCCTAAATCCTAAACCCCCAAACCGTAAATCCTACACCCCTGAAACGAAAAACCTGAATCTAAAAGCCTAATCCCCTAAAGCGTTATCTCCAAGCCCTAAAAACATCCAATTTTCCCTCAACCCGTAAGGATCTCAAACTCTTGAATTTCTTTGTTGCTATTACTAGGACTGTTATTTTGTGCTTGATCACCAGTATTGGAAGAACTCATGTTAATACTGGTGCGTATATCATTGTTCTTCTCTTCGCTGTTATTGATATTATTCTTCATTTTCACTACGATTATTATTACAGTTGTTGATGTCAATATTACTGTTGTTACTACCAACTTTTTGTTATTTATTACCATGGTTATTACAGCTATGGTTATCTATACTGAACCTAAAACCCAAGCAAAGAATACAATTTTAGCTGTTGCTTAGGGGTTATAATAACAAAAAACTAAAAAGTATTTCTAAGTACCCCTAAGCTATTGCCATTATGACTACTACTATTCCAGCATCCTGGGGACTAAAGGCTATCACCTATGCGGGTATAATTATTGGGACTATATTATATAGGGATGAGACTACCCCGAAAAGGGGTAAAGAATTGTGTGCGGATTATTGTTCTCTTTTACTGTTACCATTATGACGACTATGAGTGTTACTGCTGAATCTGGTATTGCTATTATGAGTACTTCTGCTACTACTACTACTACTACTACTACTACTACTACTACTACTACTACTACTACTACTACTACTACTACTACTACTACTTCTACTAGTACTACCACTACCACTACCACTACCACTACCACTACCACTACTGCTACTACTACTACTACTACTACTACTACTACTACTACTACTACTACTACTACTACTACTACTATAGATCCCTTCTGGATCCTTTAAAGGAACCGCTAAGGATCCCTTTGCGCTCCTCTTGATAAAAGCCAGGGCTACACTTAACGAGGGCATCGGGAGGTCGAGCACCGCGCAGTCCATCCTCGGAGGTCGTTCTGTGAAGGGTTCTAACGATTTAGGGTGTAGGGTTTAGCTTAGGGTTTAGTTTAGGGTTCAGGGTTTAGTTTAGGGTTGGCTTGAGGCTTGCTTTAGGCTTTGGGGTTGGGGTTGATTTTAGGCTGTTGGGGTTCTGGATTTCTCTATAGCGATGTTTTGGGGTGCTGGTCGGGCTGTGATAAGAAGTTTAAGAGCCCTAAACCCTAAACCCTAAACCCTAACCCCTAAGCCCTAAACCCAAAACCCTAACCCTGATGAGGACTTCAGGGCATAGGGTTTGGGAAACCCTAAACTCCAAGCCCGGGGCCATGAGGTCGGACCCTAAACCTTGCTTAAAGGATCATGACGCTTACCCTTGATGATATACCCTAAGGCTCCATGTACCCTTATAGTAGATACTTAAGCCCCAAAGCAGTCCCTATATAGGTACTTCAAGGCCTAAGTATCTACTATAAGGGTACATGGAGCCTTAGGGATATAATGGGGTCCCCATGCTTTAGGATGTAGGCTTGTTTATCGAAGAATTGGAGATCTGGGAGTCTCAAGTTTCAGCTTAAAGTCCCGCGGGCCTGAGATGACCGCTCTGAAATGCGCACCCCAAGCCCCAAAATACCGAATCAATGCAACCGCAACCCCGGACACAGTTGACGTCCAACCGATGTTCACATCTCACCACCCGAAACACCCTAAACCCTAAAGGCCCTAAACCCTAAGCCCTAAACCCTAAACCTTAAACCCTAAACCCAAAACTTTAAGCCCTGAACCGTCAACAGCCAGAAAGCCCCGAGACGAAGTCCAAGCAACCATCCAGTACGGATCCTCCGTCAAGTTGAGAGTACCTGCTTGGAGGACCATGGGACTGAGTATTTAGGGTTCCTGAAGGGTTCCTTAATAAGGATTCCTGACAGGGATCTACAGGGTTTAGGGTTTAGGATCTGCTTGGAGGATCACGGGACCTGGTAATAGATAAGGTAACTGTAACTATAAGTGCTTGTAACTCCAAATAATGTACTTATACCATTTCTTACTAAGTCTCATGATTCAAGTGTTGAGTGGGCAGAACAACGAACTTGTAGCCACATGGAAACGCGCTCAGAACCGCGATGCTGATGGTGGTGGTGGTGGTGGTGGTGGTCGATACTACGACGACGACGATTGCTAATCCAACTGCTACTACTACTGTTGGTAGTATTTTGTAGCAGAAGTAGTGCTGCTACTACCACTAGTACTAACTAGCACTAGTAAAAGTGCTAGTACTAGTACTAGTACTTGCAGAGCAGTAGCAGCAGCAACAGTAGCAGCAGCAGGAGCAGGAGCAGCAGCAGTAGCACTAGCAGTTTCAGTAGCGGTAGCAATAGCAGAAGCACCAGCAGCAGTAGCAGTAGCAGTCAGTAGCAGAGTAGTCGTCGTCGCGGTGGCGGTGATAGAATGGCAGCAGCAATAATGGTAGCAGTGGTGGTAGTCGTCGTAGTGGTAGTAGCGGCAACAGAGTCAACAACAACAGACTCGAATAGCATCTATTCTCTAACAGACTCTAACATGTACAGGGAGAGCAGCACAAAACTGACCAAGTGTGCCTGCGGTGGCGCTGAAGAGGCCAACCTTGATTTCCACGTTGCCGCCACTGCCTCGCAAACTACACAGGCTTAGCCCTGAATGCAGTTTGGGACGTCTGGGCCCCCCTGCAGTACTTTAGCCCTACGCGTCCTAAGTACTTATACGGGGATACTTACCAAACCGTAATAAGAAATCCTAACGTCGTGTGATTGGAAACACTTCTTCCTACTATGTCGATACTTCGGACCCTTCGGATATTGTAGGGGCCTTAATAATCAGAATAGGGCTTGGGGGGTAGATTCGACTATAGTCATATTAAGGAACCCCTGGAACAGTATTGGTAATTAGTTCGGCCTCTATAGTAGGGTTGAGGGCTTTCGGTTGCACATGTTTCTATCTTCAATGGACCCCCTAAACCCTAAACCCTAAACTTTAAACCCTAAACCCTAGGCCCTAAACACAAGAAGGGCTCCCAAACCCCAGCCCTCGAAGCTCTGGCTTGCTATGTGCATCGCACCCTGGTCAAAATTCTTAGTACGAACTGGCATTCCCTAAGGGTCCTAGGTACTGTTATGGGGAATACTTCCCCAAATCATAACAGTAATGATTAAAAAGAAACCGACATTCTACTGTCTATTGGTACTTTGGACCCTGTGGCATTGACAAAACACCAGTCTAAGCTCTGCAAAACGTGTTTTCCACAAAACTCCCGCCACAGTCGTGGCTAGAATATTCTAATCTAGGCAGGGTTTAAGGCTAGGGGCCGGGGTTGGTAAGCTGCAAAAACCTTTCAGCCTAACTTGAGTTCCCGTCACATCTCTTCGGGCAATGGCACCGCGCCTTGTTGGATGTTCAGCAGCTGGTAGGAGGCAAGCCGGTCACCGTTGTCATTGAAGCTCACGTCACCTGGCCGAGGAGAAAAGTGACTAAAGTCGGCTTTATTCATCATTTTGAGGCTGTAGGAGGTGCTTCTACTTCTTTAGGAAAACCTACAACCTACATGTGAAATGTTATGCTATTTAGCTATATAAGGAAGCCGAGCGAAGTCATGATAAGGGCTTCGGGTCTAGGCAGCTTAAAGCAAGAACCCAGGATGAACCCTGTGCCGGAGTCCCCAAGCTTCGTCTGTTGGGAAGGCTTGTGGCTCAGGTTTAGGGTCTCGAAGCCTTTGTTGCGGGCCGAGGCGTGGGAGAACCCAGAAATGCCCAACACTAGATGCAAGTAGAACAAGACACTACCTTAAGGCTCCATAGTAGTTCCTTTTTGGGATTACCTTATAGGATTCTTCATATGAACCCCAAAAAGGAACTACTCTGGAGCCTTAAGGTAGAGCACTAAGTGTAATGAGCAAAGGAGCAAACTCCAAAACCCCATTAACAATTAAGTATAAGGCCTATGGTACACACCAAACCTTGGGTAAGGGTGGTTGAACCTGAAATCCCAATCCCGGGTCCCAATCATTTCTCCGCCCCCACTCCATGATGAGAGATTTAGGTTTGATGATTCAACTTCACAATTCTACGGTTTAGGTTCGGGTTTAGGGCTTGCTCGAAACACGGCCAGAAGTAGATGCCAACTGAAGTGGGAGCGCCTCACAAGAACACGAATCCATTCCCTCCCGCAATCCTGAACCCTCCTAAAAGGAAGCAGGCACGTCAAAAACTTGGTAGCTGTATGCTGGCCCAGGAGCATCCATGGGAAATTCATGAACCCAGACCTCATCCGTTTTCGGTGCACCCATGGGCCAAAACCATGATAACGTCCATCCGGACCTCATCCGTTCCTCAGTGCATCCAAGGGCCAAAACCATGAGAACGTCCACCCAGACATCATCCGTCCCCCAGGGCATCCATGGGGTCAACCATGATCCACCCAGACCTCATCCTTTTCTTGTTGCATCCCTGGGTTTCCATGGGTCAACCGCGACGTAATTTCACCCACGCCTCATCCTTTCCCCAGAGCATCCATGGGCCAGCCGTCACGTTATCGATCTGCAGAGCGTCCATGGGCCAAAACCAAAATTATCGTCCATCCAGACCTCACCGTTCCCCAATCCAAAATCTGTTCCCCGTAGCATCTGTAGGTCAACCATGAGCATCCATGGGCCAATTATATGATAACGTCCACGCAGACCTCGTCCCTTCCTCGGAGTATCCATTCGCCAACTTGAATATCGGCCACGCAGACCTCTTCCGCTCAAAAAGCCCAGCGGCACATATTACATCATATGACTGGGACTCAGAGCATAGACTGCTGGCGGCAGACGTCCCACTGCCCTCGTCTTCCCATGCGAGGCCAATCCAGATCTCTTTACACACCTCTCTGAGTTCGTGTGGAGATACCAACTACCTTAAGCCGGAATAACCTACCTTTTTAGGGTTCCTTGTTCTGATTTCTTTATACAAGACCTTGAAAAGGTAGGTTATTCCGGCTTAAGGTACTGCTTACTCAAGGTTTCATCCAGGTCGTGGCTGACGAGGCGACCTGCTGCTCTCATTTCCAGAAGTTTAATCAAAATTCACAAAACAACGGTTTCAGTGGATGTTTCGACACTACCCTATGCTTTCCTGCTAAGTCTCCAGGTTTTTGTGCGCCTGCGGCCTCCTAAAAGGCCTAAACCATTCCTTGGCTCTGCTACAGCTCCAAGCCCCGAACCTGCCCAAAACCAAATCCCCGGTTTAGGGTTTAGGGTTTAGGGTCCCTGCGCATGACCCCGAAAGCCCTAAACCTTGAACCCTGAAGGCCTGTGATGCCAGTGAAGACAGTGGCCCGAACCTTGCAATGCGGCGAGACAAGCTGCAGCTCTCAAGGCCAAAGTCGCCCTCTACGGCTCAGCCGAAGGAGTCCGAAAGGGGCTCTAATTGAGGATTAGCGGTTTGGGGTTTGGGTTTTGGGGTTTTGGGTTTAAGTTTAGGGTTTGGGGTTTAGGGACAATTGGCGTTTAGGGATGAAGGGTTCGGGGATTAGCACATCGTGGAGTTCCCGGGCTAAAACGCTAAACCGTACAAACCTAAACCCCAAAAACCCATGCCCCCCAGCTCCTGGCCTCGTTCAGGAGGAGCTGGCCCTTAATGTCGGTGAGGTTGTTGCCTGCAAGATGCGATGAAAACAAGTCCTCCCCCAAACAGTCCGAAGTTTTCGGGTTCAGGGTGGTTTAGGGTTTAGGGTTTAGGGTTTAGGGTTTAGATTAAGGTTCAGCTCTTGAGGCACCATGACCCAAAGGTTCCCGAAGTCCCTACTTTTGCGTAAGTCGGGCTTCTAGAATAGGGCGTTTTAGGGTCTGGGTTTCGGGTTTGGAACAGCAGACGAGGGGTGGGGGATGGCTGGGAAGGAAGAACCTACAATCGTTCTCTGCTGCTCTCAATTTCGAGGGGCACTCTAGGAGAATCGGGTCAATCACTGAGTCTATTATGCAAGAGTTACGTTGAAGAGCCCAAGCAATGGCGCTTTCTCATCCGATCTCCCCTCTTCAACAGTTTAGGATTTGGGATTCAGGGTCCAGGGTTTAGGGTTCAAGGTTTAGGATTCGGGGTTCAAGGTTTATGTTTGATAGCGTAGGCGTAGGGTTCAGGATGTCTGAACATCCTCCTGACCAATACCTCTTAATAAAATTCGTTGTAGGGGCCTTGATAGTATAATGTAAGCTTGTACCTTACCTCGTAAATAAGGAATGAGCGGTAAATTGAGGAGGGGACCTGAATCCTTCATGAATCAAAGGGCCTCTCTAAGCGTTCAAGGCCATGTACTGCCAACGCCAAGGGAACAAAGAAACCACAGTTTCAGCTAACATAAAGGCCCTATATAATAACTTCCTTTACTACTCTGGGGGTTCGGCATTACAACTATACTCGTAGCGTATTACACCCCCCGTCCCCCCAAATCAGAGCCAGAGACCCGGGATCCCCTCTACCCCCTCAAGCTCTCCAAGTTCTTGGAGAAATTGAGGGTTCAGGGTTTAGGGATTAAGAATTTAAGGCGCAGGGTCTAGAGATTTGGGGGTTAGGGCTTAGGGACTTCCAAAACCTTCTCTCTCTGCCCCTTTCGCCACCGACAGAGTCGACACGCTTGCCTTTGTTGAGGAGACTGTTGATGGCCAGGATAAACGTATACCTTGGTGCACGGCCAAAACCCTAGACCCCCAAACATACCTAAATCCTAAACCCTAAACCTAACATAATGAAGATGGTCGTCATGCGTGAATGTTACGACTGCTGTTGTCTACCCCTCCTGGTCCATGACGTGGTAGTGATGGCCCTTGCAATGGTAAAGATGAAGGCGGTAGCGTGGAAGTAGAAAGAACAGGTGATGATGATGATCCTGGTGATGTTGATGGTGATGACGGCGGTGATGATGCTGTGGGCAGTGCTTGCAATGGCCATGTCTCCAAGAAGATGACAAAAGTGGTGCAGGCTGGAAATTCTTATTACACAGACTAGCAGCCTCAATAGTTAGAATAGGATTCGAGGTACAGTATACCAAGAGCATAACTTGTTGCTAATTCAGACCCGCTATAGTAGCAGTACAAAGCTGACTACCTGCAGTCTCCATTGTTGTTCCTTTGGCTGTTGAATTCAAAATGTGTGTCTAATCCACAAACAGAACTACCTTAAGCCTCCAGAGGAGTTCCTTTTTGGGGTTGATATTTGAAAAACCTATAACGTAATCCCAAAAAGGAACTACTATGGAGCCTCAACCCCAAGGGTCCAAGTACCCAACAATCATATACTCTCCAAAATCCTACATAACTACTATCCTAAAACCGAGTACCTAATTATGGGGTCCTTTGGACCCTTGGGGTAAGGTACAGTGGAGAGTATAGGTACTGTTGATGATACAAATCCTGCATTACCTTAAGGACCCTAAACTATGGGAATTATGGTACATTCCGTATTATGGGTCATGCAGGATTTATACATCATCAACCAAAAACCCTAAACCCCCTATAGATCCCTTAAAGGAACCCCTTCAAGGCACCCTTATAGAAAGGTATCATCAACCGTATCACATCAAAGACGAGAGGCCCGGCATCGAAGAGGAAGGACTCCGAGGTCTTGAGCCTGATGCTTTCAGGGTTTAAGGTTTAGGGTTCGGGGGATTTTTCTTAAGTTTGGGGGTTTAGGGTTTAGGGTTTTGGGGAGATCTTTTTTAAAGTTTGGGGGTTTAGGGTTTAGGGTTTTGGGGGAGATTTGTTTTTAAGTTTGGGGGCTTAGGGTTTAGGGTTTCGGGTGATTTTGTTTAAAGTTTGGGGGTTTAGGGTTGAGGGTTTTGGGGAGATTATTTTTAAGTTTGGTGATTTAGGGTTTAGGATTTGGTTATTTTTTTTTAAGTTTGGGGATCTTTTACACATGCTAGACCCAACCCTCCCACTGAGTCCCCTCTTGCACGAGGCATGTGGTGAAACCGCCGCTGTTTGTTAGCAGCATAAAGGACGTCGAATGTCATGGGTAGAGCTGAATCGTGCCGTCATATGTAGTTCAGAATGAAGTTTCGCCAACCCATAGAAAGCAGCACCCCACTCCGACTTCGAAGTTCACAAGTTTGGGGATTTAGGGTTTAGGGTTTGGGGATCTTGTTTGTTTAGTTTGGGGATTTAGGGTTTAGGGTTTGGGGATTTAGGGTTTAGGGTATAGGGTTCAGGGTGCAGGGATTTAGGGTTTGGGATGGTGTTTAGTGTTTAGGGCGTCTGGGGCTTCCGAGCTTAGGGTTTGCAGGGAGGCCCTAAACCATCAACCCTAAAAGCTCAGGGTTTAGGGGCCTGCTACAGTTGGGGCTCTAGGCTTTCAGAGGCGGGGCTGTAATTAGACGGGACGGTCGCCAGTGCTCCTAGCGGCAAGCTGGTGTCGTCGAAGAAGCTGTCCGTGACCACATCTGACCGCATGTCCTCCTTGGAGAGTGATGAGGTCGTGATGTATCGGTTTAGGGTTAAAGGTTTACGTTATGCTTGGAGCATACAGAAACATCAAAGACTCATGCAAGATATTGGCAGCTTTGCTTTTTGAGCTTGAACTTTTGTGGCTGAGTTGTCCGGCAAAGAGTGCTGCATCCATCCCCTCACCCGAGCCCTAAACCTTGCACGCTGAACAGAACCCCAAAGGGTCCAGGAACTGGCACCTGCACAGCATAGAAGCCTGAATAATTTCCGCACCGGGCTTTCAGAACTTGCGAAGCCCAAACTACCTTAAGGCTCCATAGGGCTGCATAGTAGTTCCTTTTTGGGATTACCTTATAGGATTCTTCATATGAACCCCAAAAAGGAACTACTCTGGAGCCTTAAGGTAGGCTTTGAAGTCAAAAAAACACACAAACCCACCAAGTGCCAACCCAGAATCCCAGAACTGGCGCTATCATCTTCGGGGTTTAGGGCTCCCTCAATTGGGTGGTTGTCAAAATGATGGTCCCTTTTTGGGTACCCTAGATATTAGGTGCCGTATTATATTAGGGACCCATAAAGGTGCCATAATTTCGACAACCACTGAATTCAGGGCCTGAAATTCAGGGTCGAGGGATTCCTACACCCGAACGAATAGACCTCCGCCCACACCTGACAGCAAAACACCCTACTTATCCAGTATGCTTGGGGAACAAAGGTTAACATTAACCTGGGTTACAGTAGCCGTAGCCCAACAATGCTAACTACAAGTTGGGGTCATATAGGGATTATAGAGCGCGCAAAAAATCGCAAGTTGGGGCTGTAATAAGGATTATACGATTACAGTCGCCCCAAAAAGCTACACAGATTTCCTGCTGTACGTTTAGCACATCGATCTCTGTGTCCAAGCAGCCAAGGCGACCCGCAAACTATCCAGCTTGTACCTCAGCGTCGCAGGGTTTAGGGAGTTTAGGGTTTAGGGCTTGCTCAAGAATTCAAAAACTTCAAGCCCTTACGGAAACTGCCGAAGGGGTTTGGGCTACCCAAAGGCTGCTTCATCCCACCGACCTTCACCCCACCATTTGAGGTCCCCGAGTTCAGGGCTCAACGCAGACCGTAGGCTGGAGTTCAGGCTGAAAGCATCAAGCTGGGTATAAGGCTCAGGGGCTTGTCGCTTGTACATATGCTTAAATCCCAAACACAAAGCCCCTGAATAGATCAGAAACGCTCCGTCCCCGAGGAAGTGACTGCCTCTGAACGCTAGAAGGCGTTGAACACTGACAAAAGGGGTGCCATACTGTACGGTACCTCAACGCCCCATCGTCACTCTTGAGGCCCGAAAATGCAGCCTTATATAGTAGCCCTTTCAGCAACCCTCACAGGAATCCTGAAAGGAATCCTACTGTACTTACAAGCTATAATGCCTCCAAAGGCACCTCTGTCGTGCTTCCGGTCCGACCACGTCATTGGCAGTAAGCTCCGTCCAAATGTCGGCAAACTGCGGCCACTTCTCTCCCTGACGTCTGAAAGAGATCTTGAGGTACCCCCCTAAATTTCCATGTGCCCAGAAAGTATATACTCTGGCCCGTAAGTACCTATAAAGGGACTACATCAAGGCCTAAGTACATCCCTCGGGTACTAAACGCAAGGGCTTCAGGAAGGGTTACAGTGAGGGTTACAACAAGGGCTTTATAAGATGCTCACAGTCATGTCTTCTTACATTACCAAGTGTCTCACACCCAAACCCTTGAAGCCTAAAGTCCAACCTTGTCAGACATTTCGTAATATGTATATTTCAGTTCATGTTGACAATAACAATCATGATTATACTCATAGTCATATTCCTTTTAATCATAACACAGATAGCAAAGAATCGACTTTGAAGCAAAAACCAAAAGGCCGAAGACTTGCCTTGCTCACATCTTCCCAGCGCATGTAGCCGATCGGAAACCTCAGATGCCCAACATATATAGCTTACAGCAAGTACCGTTTGTAGTAATGTCATGTGGAGGATGATTGCAAGAAGAGAGAGACTCAGAGAGACTGAGAGACTGCCAAAAAGAGAAGCCAGCAACGACGACGACTACTACCACTACTATGACAACGACGAAATACCACAACGACTACTGCAGTAGCGCTAGGCCGCGACGGCCACGGCCACCACCACCACGAACCTAAATATTCAACAACAAACATACTGGTTACTAGTTTCCTGAGCATGAGAATACAAACCTCACAGTACCCTTTTTGGTACGCTGATCACGTCCTTGATCTTCCAAGGAAACTTTATGCTACTCACTCGGTCACTGCGTCACTCAAGTGCGCTTGTCCTGACAGTACAGGCATGCCACGTTTGCACCTACGAGTAGGGTAGTAAGGCATCCGTATCCCTGCTTGTCGACTGGAAACCGGAATGGCATGGAATGCCGCTTAATGTAGGAACCTGATTAAGAAACCCTGGCCTATAACCCCAAAAGAAGAGGTTTCTTATATAAGGAACCCTAATAAATGCCCAAGGTTCTTAATCAGGTTCCTACATTAGGGTTTGAGACTTGAGGGGTTAGGCCTGTAGGGATTTGGTGTCGGGACGTCTGGTCTGCTCAAAATAGCACAAAACCCTTGTGTAGTATGATCTTTGGGCCAAAAGAGTTTAACATCTAAGAGCCCTTACACCCCATAAACCCTAAACCCCGTAGGGTTAAGGAATGGAATCGGTTTATACTTTACATCGGGGTTTGAGGTTCGGCTTGGGGCAAGAGCCGAAGGAAAGTCTCATCTCTCAATTAGAGTCCCTGCTAGGCCTCCTAAATAAGGGTGCCGTACTATTTTGGGGAGCTCAAAAGGGACCCTAATTTGGAGAACTATCCTCTGGATTCGTCTCGGGAGTTGGGGGCTCCGGGTTGAGGGATTGGTCTTTAAGGTAGTGGGTCCAGGGGTTTAGGGTTTGGGGTTTGGGGGGTTAGGGTTTATGGCTTAGGGTTAGGCCTGTGGTGTATCGTTTCGGGTTCGGGGTTCAGGCTTAGTTTCAGAGGGTAATATAGGAGCCTTAACAGTTACAAGTGGGTTTTCGGCCCGTTATACTATAAGTATAATCAGGAACCCCCAAAATTTGGCTCTTATTTTGGCTTCTATAGTAGTCAACTTGCTGCCAGGAGACTCTTCGAGGTTCCTCAGGGCAGAATACGGCTGATGATGTAAATTCTGCATTACCCAAAGTAGGGAATTTACCATAATCCCCATAGCGTAGGGTCATTGTAAGGAATATACCATGATTCCCATCGTGTAAAGTCATTAAGGTAATGCAGGGTCTATATCATCATTCGTATCTCCCAAGCACCCTTTCTGATCTGCGAACTGCGAACTAACCGTAATGATTTTAAGCTACCATAAAAGGGAATCTATAGTGAACTGTAGTGAATGATTCGGGTTCCTTATTATGATAACTCAAACTACCCTGAGGGTCCATGTGCCCAAACAGTGTATACTAGCGCTTTAATGTAGTGCCTATATAGGTACTTTGAGGCCAAACTATATACTGTTTGGGTACATGAACCCTAAGGGTAACCCTGCAGTAAGGATCCTTCAACCAAAAACACCGAATAACAACACAAACAAACTCCATAATCCTGTCGTCGACCAAACCCACCGTACGATCATGCTCAGGATCTAGCACGGATGTTCTACATGACAGCCCTCTTTCTGGAGCCTCAACCCTAACCCCAACCCTGACCCTAAACCCATAGTCTTCCAACGTACCGTTAGCAGTCTCAGATTTCCGGGAAGACTGGGGGTGTAGGACACAGATCTATGAATGTATGTATATATGTATATGTGTTTCTATATATATATATATATAAATATATATATATATATATATGCATTTCTACATATGCATATATATATATATATAGATGTAGACAGAGAGAGAGAGGGAGAGACAGAGAAAGAGAGAGGGGGAAAATTGAATGTTAAGGTTTACAAGGTATAGGGCTTCGTGCCGGGTTGCTTGTTTAGGCTTTGGGTTTGTCGGCATAGTGTACCCTACATCCGAAGCCCTACCCAAAACCCTGAACCCTAACTCGAAACCCTACGCCCTGAGACCCAAAAGCTCTAAACCTAAACCCCACACCCCTGAGCCCTAAACCTACATTACACCCCAATAACCTACCTCTTTAAGGACTTCTATAAGAAAATGATATTAGGGAACCCTAACAAAGTAGGTTGTTTGGGGTCCAGGTATGCTCCAAACATCGAAAGCGCGGAGCCCCGAAGCCTTAATCAAGCACCCTTAACCCTCCACCTTAAACCCCAAATACATGCTACACCCTACGGCCCTACACTCCAGAATCCTTAACCCTAAAACCCACACCCTGGACCCAAGAGCCGTCATATGGGGACCTTATCTAGTAATTAAAATACATAGGGTTTTGCGGTATATCGCATAATACGGTACCCGATGGACTGCAGGCGACTCGAGACGGCCGTTCTATAAGGGTTGTCACAAGGGCCGGATAAGGTGCACTGTAAGGGCTCGAAATACTATGAACCCGAGTGGTGCAGACATTCTTGCATGTGGTTCACACTGCAGTTTGAGTGTATGGGCCCCTCCGTTCCTTGTGACTCTTTATGACAACTTCGTGATGTGGTCTCTTACATATCATTCTGCAAGGGACAGACCACAAGCAGTGCTGTCCGGGTCCGGGACATTTCGGGCGATGAGATGCGGGATTCGATATGATGAAAGACTGGCCAGGAAACAAAATCTCATAGACCGAGTTCACCACTGATAAGCGTAATCGAAGAAACACAACCAATGGACACCAAGCCTCAAACCTTCAGCAGGTTAAAGGTCAGCGGCTCACCAGCTTTATCCCAGCCCCGACACTTATACATCCCTTTGATTTGAGAACCCAGTCTAGATCCCTTAGTGGAGCCCTAAAGCCCATGAACAGCTTGTTGGCCCAGTGGCTGGGTGCTCACCGTCGAGCTGAGGATTTGCCAGCCGGTGCCCAGCATACCAAGATCTCTCAAAACGGATAAGAAATTCGACACCTGCGGGTTTCGGGTTTGGGAGTCCGTTTAGGGGCTACCAATAGTCTCCATTGTAGTTCCTTTTTTTGGTTAACCAAAATCTCTATTTGAATCCTAGCCATAAAACCTGTTAACCAAAAAATGGAACTACAATGGAGACTATAGGTAGGGTTTAGGGTTTGGGAGATTGTAGGGTACAGGGTTTATGGGGCTTAGAGCTTATAGGGGCTTTGGTGCCGAGCTTGGTGTGCTTAGGGGCCTTGAGGTGTAGGGCTTTAGTAGTCTCTCGAGATCAAAGGTACCACTGTCAGTCTTCATATGTGTCATATGGTAAGTGTAGTCTACTTAAACTAGAACTATAATAGGGGATGCTATTCGTAGCTCTCCCGACTCTTGTATTACCTTGTTTTCGGGCCCTGACTGGTCCAGTATCCTGAGGTATGCTTAGGGTTTAGGGTTCACGCTAATGCATCCCAAGCCATAGACCCCTAAATCAGTTTCTGGTCTCTGAAGGGAGGGCCAGCTCTGCACGAAGGACTGCGTCTGGGGCTAAGGGGTTCAGGGTTTAGGGTGCAGGGTAATTAGCCCAATCAAGGCGTTCAGATGGAGTTCGGGCTGTGAGTTCACAGCATGTGCATTCCGAGAAGAACCGACTTGAGTTCAGTCTGCTTCGGCAGCCGCGTGCCCTGGACCCCAATCTCTCAAATACCAACACCTGAACACCAAAGGTCACAAGCCCATAGACCTTGTGAGTAGTATCATCGAGAGCTCAATCATGTCAGAAATCATGGCCACATAAACTGTGTTCACATCTGTAGCTAGTCCAGGCTTGCCATGAAGATAGCTGACTGAAGATGACCACTTCTCTCTCAAACCATGAATCAGAAACCGCAGACGCCGAAACACCCGCCTGGCTGTTGATCATCAGAAAGATGAACTTTGAGCCAAGACCTTTCGCCAGCTCCGCAGTGGCGCGAGCCTCGGAAAACACCTGCAGGAGTGTTACCAAACCATGGGTCAGAGGTCCAACTGGATGTCATACTGCCTCATGGGATACTCAAGCATTGAGGAGTGCTTGTGCTGCTCTTGCCGCTGCTCAGCTGGTATTGGCGTCAAGGCTCCACAGTGCCGGCGATTGATACATTAGCTTACTTGCCCACTATCCTGCGCAAAACAACGGTTAACCGTTGGGGTTATATAGGGCTTGTAGTACCCCTAAGAGGTCGCAGGTCATCCACTTCATTATTAACCTACTAACTAAGTAAAATATATTTAGTTAACCTTTAGGATTATACAGGGCTTGTAGTACCCCAAGAGGTTAAAGGTTACCTGCTCTGCGATTCAGAACCCTTGTAGACCCTTCTAGTACCCTTGTCGAGCCCTAGTACCACCAAGAGATTGACGGTTATCCCAGAGGGTCCATATATACCACCATTGTGGAATTAGGTCCCAAAACACCATCCCCATTATAGTTTTTGGCACCTAATTCCATAGTGGTAGTGTGCATGGAAATTCATGGTCCTTCACTACTGTGTTATCTGGCTCCGTTTTGGGTGACAGGGAGCAGCAGTGCCGGCCCGGCCCCTCCCTACACGCCGTATGGGAGTTTCCGAAAATGGAAGATCTAAATATAGTAATTACCCTAAATAGTAGGATCCTTATTATAAGGACCCCAAGATATGGCACCCCCAATGTTCGGAAACTCCCATATCGCTTAAGGCTTTGGCCTTTTCAGGTTAAGGGTTGTTGAGGCTGCATGTGCACTCACATCTTGCTCAGAGCTCTCAAAGGCCACGACCATGACCTTTCTTCATCTGAAACAAGAATACGACGAGGACGGAACGTGGCAAAGAGATAAAGGATAAAGGTGGATGTCAAGCCCAGTGCCACAAAATTGGTGTCATCAAGTGCCAGAGCAACCGTCGCACAGTCAAACTGCATATGAATATGCCTCTGCTCTGACTGACCTCGCCATGTCGATGCGAGCAGCAGTATGATGATGACTAATTACTGTAATGACCGTGACTACGCTTGTAAGCTGTACGGACAAGATGACGATGTAGATGATGTCGATGATTATGCTGATGATGACGATGATGATGAGGATTATGACGGTGATGAAGATGAGAATGATGATGATGGTGAAGACGATGATGATGATGATGAGGATGGTGAAGACGGTGATGACGATGATGATGATGGCGATGATGCTGCTGCTGATGATGATGGTGACCATGATGCTTCTGATGCTGGTGGTCATGATGATGTTGATGATCACGACGGCTACTCATGCGCTCGGTCTCTTATCCGCATCACCGTCCGTCGTCTCGTGTATTCAATGAAGCTGGCACAAGTTTCGAGGCGCGGGGCCTTGCATCAGGCTTCCAGTCACAAGGATTTGAAGGCACGCCTTACATACAGCTCTCAAGAAGATGCGGGCTCCGCACCGCCGGGGTATTCCCAAACATGACAGCATTATGGCCAAGGGTCTGCTGGTGCCTACTTGTGGATTTGCATTCGTATGGTTTAGGGTGCTTCCAAACATCTCAACCCTCGCGCATAAAACCTCCGACTGTACTCAGGGCGGGCGACGTAGTTCTGCGGCATGTAGCGAAGGCCCTGCCCTTTGATGCGGTCCTGCGCAAGATCGGTCCAGGAGTTCTTTGTCGGTGTACGGTTTCGGGTTCCCAGCTAACAGGGTAGGCTTAAGCCTCTGGGCTGAAACTCCTTCTATACCGCGCTTAGAATTATATCCAAAAATGACATGTTTAATATGCCCTCTTGGGCTTTATATGAACAAACATTGAAAATACGTACCAGCCGGAGGTACGAGATTCCGAAGACTCTCGGCTCTTTGAGCATGAAGACATCAAAGCATGAACCCTAGGGGTTCCTATACTCAACTTAGAACCCTGGCACAAATTACAATTTTCGCTGTTTCTTAGGGATTGCAATAACAAAAAATTAAAACTTATTTCTAAGTTCGGGTTCCAGGACCCTCCTTGTACCCTCAAATAGGGGTATATGGTCCCAAATAAGGGGCATTTAGGGTCTAATAGAGGGTAGAGGGAGGGTCTAGGTTTAGGGTTTACGGAGTTTAGGGATGTTTAGGGCCCTAACTAAGAAAGGGACCTTAGCAATTAGAATGGGGTTTTCGGGGAGGTATATTATACTATAGTTATAATTAGGAACCCCGCAAAAACCTGTTCTAGCTATTAAGGTCCCTACATTAGTCCTAAACTTTCAACCCTGAACCTTGAACCCTAAACCCTGAGCCCTTCGCCCCGAACCCTCAACCTTCAACTCTCTACCCTAAACCCTGAACCCTACACCTGTGACCTGAGCCCAAAGTTCGGGCTCCTCCTGGCCATCCAGCTTTGCCAAATCCTGAACGGCCGTGAAGAGACCCTGGCCGTACGGCTCCGTAGTGTAGATGCCTGAGCATAGGTCTGATAAAGCTATTTATCCTAAACCTGGAAACTTAGGAACCCTAAACCTCTGACTCCTAAGTTTCAAGGTGCTTTAGACGTTTAAGTTTAGGGCATTTGAGACTCCTTTGGGTTTCCAGGTTTCGGATGTAGAATAGATGACCCTGAGCGTCCATGTACTCATAGAGTATATACTTTGGCCGTAAAGTTGTCCCTACAATGCATGTACCCTTTGGGCACCTGGACCCTTAAGGGTGACGGAACACTTGGATACATGAGGTAAACCCTAAACCCAAAAGCAAAAACCCTGAACCTTCATTTTAATAAGGGAGCCATACAAGAGAAAAGGGCAAAACGTCTACTATACCCTAATTACCCACTATTAAGGACCACAAGGGCTCTATCGAAGGCTACTTGGGCGCTGCTGGATAGCCTTTGAGCATGGCGCGTTCGAAGAGTGTGAGGGAATCCAGTGCAGGGTGTCCAAGGGTACAAGGAGGGACCCTTAATGTAGGGTTAAGGGTTTAGGGACCCCTAGGTATATATCCCCAATATAGCTACTATATGCCCATTACCTATTATATATATATATATATATATATATATATAGGGTACTGATCCCCATTACGGGTCCCTCCTTTTCCCCTTTGAGGGTGCCGGTCAAAGACACCGGAATCTGTGAGCCTGTCCGGCTTAGAGGTTTTAGGGTTCAGGCGGTTCAAGGGTTTAGGCTTTAGGGGTTTTAGGGTTCAGGGTTTAGGGGTTTAGGGGCTTATTAGTTTAGGGTTCAAGGGCTTAGGGTTGAGGGAGGTTTAGGGTTGAGGGAGTCTTAACTCCAAACGGTGTCCCGCTGAATCTTACAAAGCGCGACCTTCTTGATTGCCGAAGCCGAGTACGCGTGCACTTTTCCGACGAAATCGAACGACATCCAGGGCACAGTCCTGATACCGATCTTAGGAATGCATGGCATCATAGGGATTTAGGGTTTAGGCCTACAGTGCCTACAGCATCCTTATTAACCTTTCAGGGCCCGAAATGCAAAGGTTTCTGGGCTGCGGGGTCCAGTGTTTTTGCTATCGCGGCCTGAGTAAGTAGCATCGCTAATACCCAGGTTCCTACTTCCAAAAGGCCTAAACTCTTAAACCCTAAACCCTCAGGCTAAACCCTAAACCACGGAGAGGTTTAGGGCATTTAGGGTATAGGTTACCTACACCCACACCTCCCCAAAGACAATGAAGGCACTCAGAGTGCAAGCCGACACCTCAAGCAGCTGTCGAGATGCACACCGCCAGTGGCACCTCGAACGTAACCTCAACACGAAGGCTCCACATGATGTACCCTAAGGCTCCATGCACCTATAGTATAAAATTTGGCCTTACGGGGTTCCCCTCTGGGAAACTTAAAGCCTGAGTATGAACTAGACTATATAGGTACCGGAAGCCTTAGGGGTAGAGCGTTCGGGGTTTATGCTTTCATGGCGATGGACACCCGAACGTGTAGGTAAGAATCATCCGGAAGAGCCTCCCTGCAATCACGAGTTAAGACCCATCAGCTGTTGCTAGAAACTCTGCTCAACAAAACTGCGAACCTATGTTGGTTAACAAACCTCAGGGCCTGAGTACCTAGCCCAAGAAGGTTAACCATTTCAATTATGGTAGCGTTACATCAACCCCAGCACATTAAAGGCTACATTCTCCGCGACTAAGACTACTACTACTACTACTACTACTACTGCTGCTGCTACTACTACCACTACTACCACTACTACCACTACTACTACTACTACTACTACTACTACTACTACTACTACTACTACTACTACTACTACTACTACTACTACTACTACTACTATAACTCCTACTACTATAACTCCTACTCCTACTCCTACTCCCACGGCTACTGCTACTGCTACTGCTGCTGCTGCTACTGCGACTGCTACCCCTACTGCTACTGCTACTGCCGCTGCTACGACGACGACTATGACTACGACCATGACTCTGACTACGACTACTACGACTACTACGGTTACCCTCTCAGCTAGTACGAGCCTTTTAAGACCCATATTATTGCTGGGATGAAGCCTTGGGTGAGGCCTGTAAGGGTTTGGGGCTTAAGATCTTAAGGGTTCAAGGGTCTGGAGTGTAGGTTTTTGGGGGTTTCAAGGTTCACGGGCTTAAGGGGTCCAGGGGTAGAGGCATTTTCTTCCCTGCGGTTTGGACTTTGGGTTTCATACCGTTGGCAGGGTGCGCAAAACCTTCATAGTTGGAGGGTCGGGGGACTTGGTGAACAATTAGTTGTTTTAGAGACTTATAAGTAAAATAACCCCAATTGGGATCCCTGTTAGGGTACCTATGAGTCTACTTACTACCTACTGCTAAGTCCCCCGACCCCCAAGTAACCTTTAATGGAACTAAGAACCCTCTGCACTTCTTTGAGGGCCCGTTTAGAGCCCTAAACTTACCTGTCCAGTATCCCAGGGGAACTAAAACGGTAACCTTAAGGACAATATAGGGATCAGCATACCCCAAAAGATTGACGGCTACCTACACTATAGAAGCCGTAAAGAAAAGTACAGGATCGATAACATATTGGCAAACAAACACTGAGGTGTCGAAGAGGGCCTGAGACCAACAGCAGGAACATCCGCTTTGGCTTTAAGGGCAAGTTTAGGGATTTTAGGTTTACAAGCTTCAAGACCCGCTCAACTGCAATCATTGGCATAGCAGAGGGTTTTGGAGTATCGGTTCGGGTCTTTGAATGCTTTGGGGACCTAGTGTTTCCAGGCAGGGCGTTGGCTAAAGGTCTTTGGAAATTTTTCCCAGAGATCCCAATACCTCTTAACTGAGGAATCTACCTTAAATCATATAGGGGATCCTATTATGATTTAAGGTATATTCCCTAATTAGGGGGTATTGGGTTCTCTGGGTTCATCCCCCAAATCATAATAGTAATTCCTAACATTCAAACCCTACATTCTACTATATGGGGGTTTCCGAAAATAGGGGACCCTAGTATAGTACCTTAAATAGTAGGATCCTTATTCTTAGGACCCCATATAAGGTACCCCTAATTTTCGGAAACCCCCGTATCGGTACTTTGAACCCTTTGGGTTTTTCATCCGCGCCACGAGCCAGTTCCAGAAGGCCAGTGCTTGGATGCTGTCGGGGGAAATCGTGCGGAGAAAGTACGGATAGTTGTCCTGAGAAAGGTTTCCCAAAGGCTCCATGTGCCTTCATAGTAGATAATTAAGCCTTAAAGGGGTCCCTATATAGGTACTTTAAGGCCTAAGTATATACTACATGGGTACATGGAGCCTTAGGGTTGGGGGTCTAAGGTTTATACGGCTTAATTATTTATGGCGTAGGATTTGGGGCTTATGGATTAGTTAGAATCTGAATTTAATTAAAAAGTCCTGAGAAAGGTTTGGGGTCTACGCAGAGGCTCCAAAGTAGTTCCTATTTTGGGGCTACCTTACAGGTTTCTAAATATTAAACCCCAAAACGGAACTACTATGGAGCCTTAGGGTAGGGTTTACGGCTTAATTATGGCATAGGATTTGGGGCTTATGGATTAGTTAGTTTCGGGTTTATGGCGCAGTTCACGTTTAGGGCTTGCTACAGCGATGCTGAAGGCGCTTGGTCCCCAGATAGCACACGAAGTGTGGTTTGCTAGGTTGTGGGCTGAGGTTCTTCCCCGTATGTTTGTATGTGCAAACATATCCATATAGAAGAATCTGTAGACATATTCGGATGAAAAATGTACACACACACATACATGTATATACATATGCACACGTACACGTAGAAGCATCTACCCTGTGCCTCGGCTACTCAGCTGGGCTGCGGTGTTCTTTGAGCGGCCATTTAACTTTCAAGAACAACACCAACCATTTACAGCGACCGTCCAAAGCCGGATCATGCAAACCTTCAGTTCGACCCCGGCGAAACATCTAATATAGCCGCCATATTCATTAGAACAGAGTTAGAGTTTGAGGGGTTGTATAGTAGTATTCTTATAAGAAAGAATAGTAAGCAGTAATAGTCGCAACTACACAGGTTTCTTTGTATGCATAGTGCCTGTGCACGAAGCTGAGGAGAAGACCCCTGTGCTGGGTAGCAGGGTCCGCACTAATGTATACATACAAACACAACGACGGATCCGAAGATACCTTCATAGTGGCAGGCAGACGAGAATGTAGGGATTAGAAAAGGGCTTCTGTGTGTATATCTATATATATATATATACAACTAAAACAAGAACCTAAGGAGTAGTATTGGTACTTGTCCAGGCTTCTGAGATTCGATCTTACTCTACAAGCTTATGACTGACTCCAGCTGCACCTTGTTGGACAAGGATGGGCTTGTCGCGCCATAAGCCTTCAGCATCTGTGATTTCGGGGGTAAGTTTGAGTTGAACCCTAAACCCTAAACCAAAACCCTAAACCCCGAGCCTTAAAGTCTACTAGCCACTAACAGAAAGGACCGAACCCCAAACCCAGTGCCAAACCCAAGTACACCCTAACGCAGAGAGCCCAGTACCCCTTAATTCAGGAATATAGCCTAAATCATACTATGAAGCCCCTTATAATTTGAGGTATGTTGGGCACATAACCCCCAAATAGTGGGATTCATATAAGGAACCCTAGTAAAGGCCCAAGGTTTCTTAATCAGGTTCCTACAGCACCTTGTTCTTTGGGCCCTCTGGATTAAGCCCAAGTAAACCCGAAACCGGAAAACATGGCTCAGACCTGGCTTTCGCTTCAAGCACTCGTACACGCAGCAGTTCGATGAGGGTTTAGGGTTTAACCCTAAACCCTGAACCCTAAACAGTTCGATGATGGTGAACAGATAAGATTTGGGAGTTTCCGAAAAAGCAGGGGTACCTTACTTTGGGATCCTGATAATAAGGATCCCACTATTTAGGCTGCTACATTAGGGTCCCCTACTTTTCGGAAACTCCCATTTAGGATTGAAGGCTTAAGTGTTTCTGTGAGTGGCTGTGTTGTGCATAGAGGGTTTAGGGCTTAGGGCGCAAGGATTAGGATTGACAGTTTCGGGCTTAAGCCGTCTATGATGATGGTAAGACCAGGCTTAGGATTGATGGTTCCAGTGCGCAACTGGAAAGGTGGAACTCAGGGCGCGGCCCTTATGCGTAAAATGCAGAGATCCTGATCTTACAAAACTATACTGAACTCAGAACCCTGGCAAAAAAATAGAATTTTAGATTTTTCTTATGGGTTGTAATAACCAAAAAAATAAATAAAATATTTCTAAGTACCCCTAAGAAAACTAGTATGCAAAATAAACCGAGGCGCAGGCTTCTGCATATTAAGAGATTCGTAGGTGAGTGGCAGATGCACTTCGGAATTCATGCCAGCTCACTCTCTACCCAAAGGCCCCAGAATAGTTCCCTTTTGGGGTTCGTATATAGAATCCTTTCTGGTAATCCCAGAAAGGAACTACTTTGGCGCCTATGGGTACAGGCTTGTATCAGCTGAGAAGATGTTAGGAGCTCAGTCCTGCTTGGCAAGCGTAAACCTTGAAACCTAAATCCTGAACCCTGAGTTAACCCTAAACCTTCAACCCTCAGCCCTAAACCCTAAACCCCAAACCATGAACTCTCAACCCTCAACCCTAAAGCCTCCCCTAAAGCCTACACCCACAGCTGAAGGGATTCCCGGCAAGGCTTCAAGATCCATGAGTGAGACACACACACAAGTACGGTTCATGATATAAGCCCTGCATTGCCCAAAATAAGGAATATACCATAATTCCCATGGTTTAGGGTCCTTAAGGTAATGAAGGATGTATATCATCGACCCGTATCAACCCGAAAAGCCTTCAACAGTCGGTGCTGACGGATTTCCTTCAGAACTCTGGGCTTAGGATTTTGGGTTCATCTATAGTCAAGCGCCTAATGCAAGTGCACGGGCACCTGAACTGTACTTTTTGAGATAGGTAAGTACTCTGCCATTGAATAGGACGAGCTTTAAAAGCATAGCCTTTGGGCAACTCCTGTGATGCCTATTCGATGGCGCAGCCCTAAACTATGAACCCTCAACCCTACAATCACCCTAAGGCCTTGACCCGAAACTCGACACCATAAACCTGCCTTGCTCCCTGGCCAAGGAGCTATTTGAGGAACCTTTTGGGCGGCGGCCACGACGGCCACCGGCATGGAGATGGAAGACATGACCGTCCTAGGTTAGGGTTTGGGGTTTAGGGTTTAAGGTTTAGGGTCCGCTGTTCCCACTTTGGGACAAAGACGCTGGCCTCCAACCACTCTAGGGACTCTACCCCCCTTTGAACACTGATAGTAACAATATCATCAATATTCTCTTGGGTTTAAAATGCACAAAAGTATAAACTGAATCCTAAGGAGGCTATAGACCATATCTCCCCAATAAGAGTAGGATTTTGGTGAGCCGACTAAAACTGAAGTGAGGACTACTATGTTAGCCATAGTCCAAGGTGCTCCGACACTACGACCGCAGGCGTCGATGTACCCATACACTACATACTTTTGGGCCCAGAATACCTACATAGGGACTACTTTAAGGCCAATGTATCTGCTATTTGGGTACCTGGACCCTTAGGATTATCTAATTCAGGGCTCCTCTAGAGGTTTCCTTTAAGGGATACTATAAGGGTACTGTAAGGCTGTAATTACGTGACACCTTAGGCTGGCTCCATCCGACGGCCCATGCTCCAGGAGCTTGTAGTCTATAGGGCTTAGGGAGCTTGCACGCAAAAGAACAAAGCGGAAAACTGGGCCCACCGAAAAACTCCAACTCGGCAACCCTCCCGGCACCAAGCCCCCACACCCCTAAACCCTTGAAGGGAGCCCTATTATGGAACCCCATAGTACCCCTTAAAGGGAACACTACTATGGAACCCCATAATACCCCTTAAGGGTCGAGGATTTCAGGTTTCGGGGACAGGTGACAAACACTGCAATGCGGCATCGCGTCCCGACTAGGCCGGAGATGGGCAGCTCGCCATCCAGCCCAAGCATGAAGTCAATTGCCTCGATCCGGTTACCCTTGTAAAAAGGATCCGAAAAAGGGACCCTAATTTAGAGAACTCGCCCTTAAGGGACCCTAAGCGGGAACCTAATTTGGAGAACTGCCCGTATGATTCAAGTTCAGGGGCCTGCTTTTCGGTTTTGGGTAATCGGTTAGGGTTCAGGATTTAGGGTTCGAGGCTCAGTCAGGGCTCGGGGCTCAACTCGCAGGCTTTACCTTAACCCTGATTTCCTTATTTATGGCCTTAACAAGGTAAGTCTCTCAGGGTTAAGGTAGGGGTTAGGGTTGAATGTCTGGCTCTAGCTTTTGTGTCTCTGGGCTTCGGGATCAGACTCGAAGTTTATCTTGAAAGGACTGAAGCCGACCTCTGCAGAAGAAGCCTCGGAGAAACACAAGGGCCTTTTCTGAACTAGAGCCGGGTTTAGGGTTTAAGGTTTAAGGCTTTGGGGTATATAGTCTAGTATAGTTGTTCTATACCCCCCTTAGAACCATAATGAAAAGAGTACTGAAATTTCTCTTGGGTTTTATATGCACAGAAATAAATGAATCCTAAGGAGACTATAGCTGTTCAGTTGGAGCCCTAAGGGCGAGGAGTAGTACGGTGGATGATATAAATCCTGCATTACCTTAAGGATCCTAAACTATGGGAATTATGGTATATTCCTTATAATGGGTCATGCAGGATTTAGATCATCAAACCGTAGTACGAGATTTTATTATGCAGGCTTGTATATAATTTGTTTCTAAATAACCCGTTTTGTAATCAGGGTCCCATGAGGTCACCCAGAACTAAGTTGCATTGCAGCATCACGCGGCACAAAAAAGCAGAGCTAAACCGCTGGGTGTTCAAACAACCATCTGAAACGTCACCAAAGCAAAGCTCGAAGACAAGATATCAGCTAAGTGGAATGGCTCGAAATCGACCGAGGGCGCCTTACCAGATCAGCTCATGCACTCAACAATTCATCATTCTATCCTTGGAGCGTTCCATCTACGTTTCCGAAGCCACCCTCGAATCTCCGATTATGGTACCATAGAATACACTACAAGATAGCACCATGGTATAAGATACTATACGATACAGCATATATTATGGAGACATATACGCAACTGTCTGTAAAAAATATATACAGAGAGAGGGACAGAGAGAGAGAGAGAGAGAGAGAGAGAGAGAGTAGCCGTTCCAACAATGTCCGTAGCACTCACAGCCCCAGCGGAGACGACCCAGTCAGCTTTGCGGCAGGCTGAAGAATCTTCCGAAGAAAACCAAAACAAATAATAGCAACCTGAGCCACAAACTCCAATCCTATTCACATGCAAGCATCATGCAACTGCAAGAGGAGGCAGAAGACAGATCTGCCCGAATCGCCTCTACTCAAAACCCCAATCGGATCAAAGCGCTGTCGCCACACCGACTTCCGGCTGCATGTCCGTCGTCCCCATCCGGATCGTGACGTTTGCCACGCCTAGAATCACAGGGGTTGAAAGGGTCTAGGGTTTACCCAGAAGCTCCGAAGTAGTTCCTTTTTGGGGTTACCTTATAGGATTCTAAATATGAACCCCAAAAAGGTACTACTATGGAGCCTATGGGTAGGCCCCAGGATTCTAGGGTTTGGAATTTCGGGCTCGGGGTTCGGGGTCATAGGGTTCGTGGTTGAGGGCTTATGGTTCCGGTTTGAGGGTTATAGATAGAATATCGCGCGACGAGGGATGCGTCACCTAACTAAGATGGTCCCAGGAGCTACCGCATCCCAACCATCTGATCCAGAAGCCCCGATTATTAGAACAAGATTCGGGGGTTTGGCGTCTCGCTATGTGTATAAACACATGTACACGTATATACACAGATGCGTACATACTATACCACTCCCCCCATACCCTTACATCTTAACGAGCCCTGAGCAATAACATTGTAAATCATGTCAGCCCTTTCTCCCCTGACGCAAGGATCCAGATAAAGAGCCCCAGAAGCAAAAGACACATGGTTTCTTAATCAGGTTCCTATATTAACCCCTAAACGCTAAACCCTTATAGTAATCTTATAGATCCCCTTAAAGGAACCCTTACACTGCCCCTTTATCCCCCCCGAGCCAGGAGGAAGATCCTCCTTCTACTACCAAGATCCCATGCAAAGACTAGATCCCTGACTTGGGGTCCTATACTACCAAAGGGTAGTACCCTAAACCCTACTTAGAGGATCATGGGACTTAGTATATAGGGCTGAAAATAAGGTAGCTACAGTTACAATTACTTATAACTCCACTAAGTCCCATGATCCTCCAAGCAGTTTAGAGAAACCCGCTTGAGAGATCTACTTTTGGGGATCCTCTGCGGGAGCCTCTAGGAAGGATCGTTTCATACTGGTTTCTGTAAGGAACAGGTCCGAAAAGTGCAAAAGCAGCAACCGCTAAGGGTTGAGGGTTTAGGGGAACAGCAGCCCCTAACTCCCAAAACCCATATCATCGAAAGAAAAAAAGACAACCCCGAACTCCAAAACCCTAGCTGTTAAAATTATGAAAACAGCAACCCCTAGATCCTATCCTAAATCTTGACTATAGTAAAAATGCATCAACCACTAAATGCCAAACCCTTATAGTGCCTTTATAGATTGGTGAAAAGTACCCTTTTTATCCGCTCCTCAAGCCTCGGTGAAGATCCTACTTAGATCCCATGCAAAGACCAGATCCCTACCTTGGGATCCTATACTTACTACTAAAAGGTAGTACCCTAAACCCGAAAGCCCTACTTAGAGGATCATGGGACTTAGTTTTTCGGGCTCTAGATACGGTAACTATACCTATAATTACTTACAACTCCCATGATCCTCTAGCAGTTTAGAGAAACTCGCTTAAGAGATCCAATTTGGGGGATCCTCTGGGGGAGCCTCTAGGAAGGATCGTTTCATACCCTTTTATCCCTCCCAAGCCTGGATGAAGATTTGGGATGGTCACGATGGGCTCCCCGAAGCGCGCGCGGATCGCCGGCTCGAAATTTTTTCGGACATCCAAATCGAAGCAAACGGTGGTTGCCTCGAGGGCTTTGAGTTTTTCAGGGTTTTGGGCAGGAAGTTGAGGGTGTAGGGGATCAGGGTTCAGGGGTTTTGGGTTTGGATGTAGAAGTTTAGGGTTCAGGGTCTAGAGTTTCAAGGCATAGGTTTTCAGTTAAAGGTTTCGGGCTCAGGTTTAGGGCTTGGGTTTTTGCTTGCTTTGGTGGAGATCTGTCTTTGTGGGATTTTCTAGGGCTTCCTAAAGGCTTGAGACTTAGATCCGGGTTTTGCTTGCGGGGTCGACTATGCTTTTGGGTTTAGGGTTTGCGGTTTAGGATGTAGGTAGGATTTGTGGTTGTCTTGATGGCTGAGGGTTTGGGGTGGGTTTGAGGGTGAGGGCAGGGCTCTTGGTTTAGGATCCTACGGTTCGCATTTGGCTGATACGTGGGACTCACCGATCAGGGTGGAATGCTTCTAGGGCTTGCAATGTACACAGGATTCAGGGTTTGAGGTTTAGGGCTTATGTACCTTAACCCTGAAAAACCTACCATTTTTGGGCTCCTGATTAAGATTTCTTTAGATAAGTCCTTAAAAATGTAGGTTCTTTGGGGTTAAGGTAGGGTTTAGGCTTGGGGAGACCTCAGACCACAGGCTTTTAAGCCGAGGAGCGATTTGCGTCTGCGTCCATGCCAGGGGCATTAAAACTCCAATTGCCAGTTCGTTGGCTCGGCAGCACCTCATCTTAACTACTATTTGCTTAAGAACCCCAAAAAAATAAAAAATGTATTCCTTATGGGTGTAATATAGGGATCATTATTTTTATTTTTTGGGGGTTTCTTAAGCAAATAGTAGTTAAGTGGGAGCAGCATGCAAACTTAAGCTCGTCGACTTTGCCCCTCCACACACCCTCCACAATAACACCTCGAAGAGTTTTTTTAATGATTAGGGTGAGGATCCCTACTGTCACTTCTCGGAGATCCTGCTGTTGCTGATGCTCTTGCTCTTGTTGCGGCTCTTGCTCTGGCTCCTGAACCCCTTATGTGATTCAAAATGGGCCTTACGTGACGTGGATGATTTCTAGGGCTTTCCGGAAGGGTGTTTTTTTTGGTTTGTGGGGTTGTGTTGCATGAAAGCGGGAATGGGAAGCGATTCTAGAAGGCTCCTACGGCTTTGTAGTTGAAGGCGTTTGAGGGTTGGGTCGTTAGCACCTAGGGTTTTGGTGGTTTAAGTTCAGAGACTTGGATGCATCAAGTGGCTTCGTGTGCTGCTAAGTAGGGTGCAGGGTAGGGCGCAGGGCTGCGAGTGTGGAGTTTTATGAATTACACATACTATAACATACCAACACACCACAGTTATATAACATGATATTAACTATGGGAGCACCGCGCCGTTTTGCCGTGCTACATTACACCTCAGGGGCTGCTGGCGTTTGTCCAGGCGCCTATTACGATTGATCGAAGATCCTCAATAGCAAGCTTGGTTACAGCTGCGAAAATCGTCAGACATGTCCGATTCGGATGCTCAATACAAGTTGCAGCTCAATTAAAACATGCACTGTTCGTGTGTGTGTGTGTGTGTGTGTACGTGTGTGTGTGTGTGTCTGTATCTGTAAATGCAAGTATATGTCTGTCTGTATGTATGCATGTACGTACATAAATATGTATGTACGTATGTACGTGTGTATGTGTGTATGGTTGTATATTCACAGGCTCGCACGTATGTAAGTATTTGTATTTGTGTATATGAATATATATGTATGTACATATATATATACATATTATCTGCGTTTAGAGAAGAGTTCATGAATCAGCTTCCACCCGTAGAAACGACGGGACTGGAGTGCTTACGGGCCTTTGGCTACGCGGCAGCTCTGCCCAGGGCGGGGGCGGGCTGAAGTGCAACCCAAAGGCTCCATGTACCTTCATAGTAGATCATTAATTAAGCCTTAAAGGGGTCTCTATATAGGTACTTTAAGGCCTAAGTATATACTATATAGGTACATGGAGCCTTGAGGCAAGCTACAAGTCTAGCTGCTAGAGGCTTTCACGCACAAGCAGGGGATTATGTTTTCGCACATTGCGGCTGAAACCGGCACTCGAACTATAAACCCTAGAAGCTGCCCCCACCCTGTAATAGTGACTATAAGGAGTATATTAGGGCCCTGTTATATTCCTATTATGCCACTATTACAGGGTGGGGGCAGCTTCTAATATGTACCGAGCTGCTGGAGCTGCGAGACGCTGAGCCAAACTGACAAGCAAGTCGCCGCTGTTACTCTTCGCATGACTGCCATGGTCACAAGGTACGTCGAAGGACGCAAATAGAGACCTTAAACCCAAATCCGAACGCCTTGCGCGCTTTTCGTTAAACCCCTAAACAGGTAATCCGTACGCCAAAAAGCACAACCCCGTCGGGCGGAAAGCCCTTTCGAGATCCAATTCCGCTCTCTACATTCTCAACCCAAACCACCAGAGCCATTGAATGCCATGTCTACTGTCGGCTTTTCCTGTTGGACCAAAGGTGCAAATGGACAGACCTGTGACGCAAGGATGGCGGAGCTTCGCTGGTGTTTCAGGGCTCCGAGAGTACAGGATTTAGTTGTTAGGGCCCCATAAAAGCACATAAGCAAAATTCAGGATAGGGATGTCTCATATAAACCCCCTCATAATGAAGCCCAATAAGGTAGGGATATCCCCATGAAGTGCTTATGCTTATGTGCTTTTTGGGTCGCGGTGCAGGACTTAGGGCGATTGACGCTATAGTCTCTTCAGCTTTGCGGTGCAAGATGGATGGAGTCTCGAAGGCTTGCAGTAAGCACCTCTAGGACGGCACGAGCGATTTAAATTTTGGGGGATGGGAGGATACTCAAACTGAGACTGCAGCTCTGTCTATAGTTCCGAGCAGCGTGCAGCATGCCGCTGCCCAGGCGCCCGAATGTAGGGGTCTAGACAAGTAGAATAATTAAACGCCTGCATGTATGATGTAGAAGCGGGTTGATACAAAGCTTTCGAAAGCACGACAAGTGGATTGAAGTGACTGAAGAGCATCTTGCAAGATTGTAGTGGCTTTTGAAGAGGGGCGCAGTGTCTATGTGAATGAATCCAAGCCAAAGATTTCTAAGTCAAAGTAAACCTCCCTAGCCCTACAACACACTCGGCCTTGAACGCAGACATGAAATTCAGGCTTGACGAGGGCTTGGGGAAGAGGGCCTCAGACCCGAAACCCTAAACCCTACACCCTAAACTCCTAAACCCTAAACTTCCTAAAACTCGCGAGTTGTACAGTCTTGACTCCTCCTCGCCATCATTGTCCGAGCTACCGAAGGATTTCTCCAGATCAGATGGGAGTTGCTCAAGCCCCTGGAAGTCCCGATGGGTAGCACTCCAAACTGGGGTCCTTTTCGGTTTAGGGTTTAGGGGTTTAGGGTTTAGTGTTTCGGGTTCTAGATCCCACCGAAAATAGAAGGAAAAGAGCCTAATTTAGAGAACTGTCCAAGCCATGGGTACTACTGCAAACGTCATCATACACACAGCTTCTTGTGGTGATGCTAGGCTTTATCCTCGTGCCCTCATGATAAGTGCACTGTTGAAGATGAAATTGTGAACTCGCTGTCGGGACCCTCGCTATGAGGGTAAAAGGGTGCCTAACAATGCTTTGGGCTATGCTATGATGGTAGCTACAACTACAACTAGGGACCCTATGAAAATGCAGATAATAACGTTTCTACATTTGTTTCTGGATTCTGGATCCACTTGACCGAAATGCAACCGTTGGGATTACATTGGGATTACAGTACCCCAGAAAGGTCTCAGAAGAATCAAGCCCGAGTGTTGTGTTCAGCACTTGCTCTGTGCTGCTCGGCTACATGGCTTCTACACTACATCTTACTAAAACAATCATCAGAAAACAGCGGCCTGAATAAGACAGCCATAGTGCCTTTGGTCCCTTCAGAGCGACAGCTGATCGAAGAGGAGCCTCATTCCTGTAGGGAGGACGACTAGAAGGGACACCCGCCCAGCTCAGAACAACTCCCAAGTGGGTGGTTGTCAGAAGTTTGGTCCCTTCTTGGGCACCCTAAATATTAGGTGCCGTATTATAATAAGGATCCAAAAAGGGACCCTAATTTTGACAACCACCCAAGTATGCTTTCTGCTTTTCGAGGCCGTTTTGACGGCCCGTCTTCGAACTGCCATGCAGGAGCTTTGGGCCGGTTTCATCATGCTTAGAGGATCATGGGACTTAGTAAGTAGGTTATAACTGGGGTTATAAGTCCCCTAAGTGGGGTTATCCTAATTATATCCTACTTATAACCTTAGTTACTAAGTCCCATGATCCTTTAAGTGGTAAATCTCAAATTGTACATCCCAGTGATTTGAGCGCTTAGCCCGAGCTGGGCTTGAAACCTCCACCTTAGTCTGAACCTAAAGCCCTAAATCCTACGGTCCTACAGCCTAAACTGCAAATCCTGTCCTAAGCAGTAAATGCTAATGCAGGGGCCTTGATCATTAGAAAAAGGTTTTGGGCTTTGGGGCCCACTATACCACAACTATAATAAGGAGCCCCCCAAACAGTCTTGGTAATTACTTAAGCCCTTATAGTACCCTGTACTCAAACACGAACCCGCAAGCCTGGCTCGGGGGCTTTCGATCTTTGCACTCTCACCCCGACGCCCCCAACTCAATGCCATACGGCTTAGGGCTAAAATATAGGGGCCCTAATACTGCAACTAGAATAGGGTCTGGGGGTATAGTATGCTACTACTACTACTACTACTACTACTACTACTACTACTACTACTACTACTACTACTACTACTACTAAGGCCCTGATAACATTTATATAGGGGTCAGAGATTCGCGTATAGGGTTTAGGGTGCATTCGCCCAAGCGCGTTGGCAGACAGGATGTCTTCTGAGACTGATCCATTCCACATTTGTGACGGAATCAAAGTCTTGCAAGCTAATGTGCAAGGCAAATAGTTTTCAGCGAACCCTAGGGTTAGGGTTGAGGATTTAGGGTTTAGGAATTAGGGGTTTAGGGTTTAGAAGTTTACGAGTTTAGGGTTTAGGGTTAAAGGGAAACCTTGTGCAGTTACAAGTGCCAGCTAAACCTTTTGGAGTCTGCTGGCAGTGGACAGTAGATCGACATTTGCTGAATCGAAATGGTTGCAATCCCTGGTTCCACGTCTACCTACGATCCCAAGGGATCGAGGTACCAATGTAGCAGGTACTTCGTAGATATTCGGGCACCAAGATAGTTTAAAACAGTACCTGGATCCTTTGGGAATATTTTGCCCGGAAGCCCCCCCAACCCTCCGTCTCGTTATGAATTCAAGACGGTGTTCCGTCCGTGAAACTGCTCAGGTTGGCGTCTTCATCTTTGCGCAGGGGCAGGGATTCGGGTTCAGTTCGGTTCTCTGCGGGTTCTTGGTCTGCAGAGGCCATTTCAGGATAAAAAACACTATATAAATAGACTTAGCTACGTGCAAAACACACATCAACCAAGAAAGCGCAAACAAATACAGGCACATACATATGTACATATATATATATATATATACACACACGACATGTACATGCTGTTTGGTGAGATGCCAACCTGTCAAGGGCTGTGCGCCACTCTTGCTGATGGCTGCACCAGCCTCCTGCATACTCAGCATGTGTCCTTTCTGCAAACAAGGACTCTAAAGCCCTTAAGATAGCCGACACCCCTAAAAGCCCCAACACCAACCCTTACCTGTAAACCCTAAACCCCAACACCATAAACCCTCTAAACTCGTTCTATTTCTAAAACCCCTGACGGAGATCTAGAGGCCATGGTCAGCATAGTATGATTCTGTAGAATCAGGAGCCCAGCTGGCCGTCGACACGAGCTGCTGACATGGGTCTTGGTTCACGATTTCTCAAGAAATTTACCGTATTGATGCACGGTCAATGCTGCAGCTGCTGCTGCCACTGCCGGATGCAGCATCTGAATAGCGATGCGATACGCATGCTGCTACAAACAACATAATGATGAACTTGGCCCGAATGCAACCTCAGTCCGGTTGCAAAGCACCAAAGCCAAGGAACCACGTGAACCCAATATTTCCTACACCTCTGGTGCGGGGCAACCCAAACGAAGGACCTGACATTTAGGTGAGCAATACAAGGCCAACACTCTCTGATGAAATGTTCCGTATAATGAGACGACCAAAGTACCCAAACTACACCACTACAAACGCTATTGCAGCTATTGAAAGCGAGATTCGCTGATGCCACTGCAATTCGGTGTGTCGACAAGCCTCTGCCGGTCGGCTCACAAAACCGGTCGGCTCTCACCATCATCTGTGCAGCTTGGGCAGCTATGTGCTTCACAGCACCCATCCTGGCGATCTGGCAGTTCGATTTCGGCGAACGGCTTCGGGATGGGACCTTCACTTGGAGTATCATGGGATTTAATCAGTCGGGATAAACGTACCTTTAATTAGGGTTATCATCTTAGAGTCCACCTATCCTTTAAGTAACCAAGTTCAACGGCCTTCAAGCCTTGTGCAGAGCGGATGTTGGCGAAGCTCGTCTTTTCCGTTTGGGATAATGACCCTAAAGGTCCACGTACCCAAGTAGTATATACTTTGGCGTTAAGGTCGTCTCTTTACAGGTTCTTTAGGCCCGAAGACTATACCCTAAACCATAAATCCAAAAACCCAAACCCTAAATTCCAAACCCGAAACCCTTAAATCCCAAACCCGAAGCCCTTAATCCCAAACCCAAAACCCTTAAACCCCAAGCCCTGAAACCCCCATCATTCTGCAGTATGCTTTCGGAGGACTTCCGGGGGCGATAGGCAGGGCCTCGGCGTGTTCGGCTTGTTCCTTAGAAATCCTGTTATATACATCTTTGGTGGTTTTAGGGTTTAGGGTTCAGGGTCTTTCTCATGGTACCACGGGACTATCCAAAGAGTCCATGTACCCAAACTTATCAGCTACGACTCTCTTAAGCCTCATTCGACTACCTGACGAACTCCGGACCCACGACCGGAATACATCTTCCCCACATCGTTCCGTCTGAATCCGTAGCCCTAAGGCCAACTCCTAAATCCCAAACCCTGTTCCTGAAGGCCCATTGAGGGGACTGAATAAATAGAAAAGGGCTCGTGGTGTATGCCAAAAGACTTAGTACATAGGGACTTCCAAGGGATACTACACAAAAGTATATTAGGGACTGCAAGGAGATAATATTACATACTATGACTAATTGTTATTCCGATCTCTAATGCTACCAAGCCCTACCACCCCCTGACATGGTGCTCCTGC